GAAAGGTAGAGAGAAACATTCGTCTTGAGAGGTAGAAGAGAAAGTCAGAGAAAAGAAACAACAATAGGAAAGAATGCAATGAGAATTCAAGCTCATCGTTTTGGACTTGTGAATTGAACACTTAGGTGAATTAGAAAACCATAAATGAGGTGCTTAAGGTAATCTAATATCATTAAGCTACAATCACTCAGAAAATTCTCTTTCTTAGAGTCTAAGCAAGGTTAGTTTGAGTTAAACTTGGTTGCTTAAGCTAATAAAACAATTAGTGGCCTAAGCTAATTAGCTTCTGGAACAAAATAGAGAAGGATGGAGAAAGTTGGAAGGAAACATTCTTCGTGAGAGGTAGAATAGAAAGTTAGATAAAAGAAAGAGTAATAGGAAGGAAATGGTGCACTGTCCATTTATCTTTCTCACCCCTTGAGAGAGAATGTGTACTGTGTGAGTTACCAGTCCGGTGAATTCTTTTCGGCTGGTTTTGTTATCAATACAGTGAGTTTTGTGAGTTGGGTTGCGGTGTTGTTCCTGTGCACCATTTGTTACGGCCATATGTTGTTCATATTTTGGTTGGAGTGTCTATTCCATTCATGTATGTTCTGTCTAGCTTGGGTTCTTCAAGATGGTAAGTTCTGATCATGTTGTGAAATTGTTGCAACCGATTTTCTATTACGCCGGTGTGTGTTCTAGTGTAGTCCATCCATGGCAGCGTTTCGGCACTGTGGTGGTGTGGGTGACGTCTTAAGTGTGTAGCTCCAGCGGGGAGTTGCAAGAGATGTGTGTGCGGGTGCCGACAGTTGGTAGCTGGTGTGTGTCACCGGTGGGTACGTCTGTTGGTCTCATTCTGATGGACATTGGTATAGATGGTTTACCGACGCTCTAAGAAGCTCCGTCGTCTGGTTTGTGAGCTTCGCGAGCTTCACCGTTAGGTGGTCTAGCCTTCCGATGTGTTTTTGGGTTGACAGGGGTGGTGGCGGTCTGCTGCGATTCACAGCCGCCGATTTGTAAAGCGTCGGTGATATGTTTCAGAAGAGTTTTTCGTCTGTCCATGTTACCGGCGTCGCATGAAGAAGGTAGACTGGTGCAAATGGTTTGAGCTTCACGCTCGTTGGTGCGAGTGACCACGGTTGTGGTGCCGTCTGATTTTGCAGATTGATACATGGGGAAGACAAACTTAACTTTTGCGTGTGGGACAACCTTCTCACGTGGGATGATTTTGAAATTGTGGCTGCTTGTTTTGTGGTAAGACTGGTTTTGTGTTTTACTATATTTAAATATAGTTTGGTCATATATGATATTGCCTATAGAGTAGGCACGTGGGTTATAAAGGACAGGTTGCTTTTCTTTGACGTGGGTCCCGCCACCTTCAAATTGTGAGCATTTTGTTCTATTCTTCAAACACGGTTTTTGAGCTGATGTGGGGCAGTAGGAGTTTGTGTATGTATTTTATATATATATATTTTAACTTGGTGGGTAGGTTAATTGGTGTTTGTGGTGGGGCCCGCCACAATGTTTTGTTTTGATATTATTTTGAGGTTCCAGCTTTATTTTGTGATGGGGCCCGCCACTACATGAAGATTTGTTTTGGTAGCTTTATTTTGTGCATATTATAATATATGCTTTGAGCTGCAAAGTGGGGTGAATGGGCCCACAAAGAACTTTCGGGTGCTTTTGTGGATCAAGGAGCTGAAATTTTATTGGGCGCACGGTTTGTTGTGTGTAATTGGGCTCCTTTTGCGCTATTTTGTTTATTTGGGCTCATTTTGGACGGAATGCATATATTTCTATATTGGTGAGCTCATCTATTTCTGTTTAGTCATATGGCAGTGGGTTATTATAGTTGATTGTTTCATTTTGATTGACCATGTGATCCTCATGTGACTTGATACGATGTGAGTTTTGGGCCATCTCCACCAAGAGTGATTGAGGGGTCACTGCTATGGGGAATAGTAGTTCGATGACTTACTGAGTTAGAGACTGGGAGATGAGCGGGAGGATAGCTACCGGTTTATGGTTGCTTCTTGTCTTCATGTGACCCATCCTAATTGATTGTATTGCCACGCCTGACATGGAGTGAAAGGCACACTGCCGTGGGGTTTGAGGCTTATGATCTACCAAGGTAGGGGCTGGGGGATGTGATGTTTGATCTGATGCGATTTTTGGCTATGTATTGGTCTGTTGCTGTGGGGCTATTGTTGTTTCACTACGACTTCCAAGATTGTTGATTATGGTTGCTGCTTGTGCTAGCTTCATGTGAATCTATCGGGATTTGTCGTGGGATAGATTTTTTTCCTCCGTCATGGCTTTGGTTAGTGGCTAGGATGTCACGGCTGTGAGGAGGGGAAGGCTTATTGGATTCCATGTGCTTATCTTCGGTAGAGACTGGCGGCTTGTGGGGGTGGCTATCCTCTTTTGATCGAGCTTGTGGGTTGCAGCTTTTGTGTTACTAGCTTTGTGGTGTGTAAATTGTATCTTCGCCCATATATCTACCCCAAGTTACCATCTATTATCTCTGATAGTAGGGGTTACTTGGGGACAAAAAGGATATATGGGCAAAGTTGAGTTATGTTATTTTTTTCTGTTGTTCTTCTGCGTTGTGCAGTTGTGTTGTTTCTCTCCCCCTTCCTTAAGGGGATGTAGTGTTCGTATTTCGTAGATTCTGTAATTGTTAATTATTTGTCGTTGGGCGTGCCTGGGGTATGCCCCTTGTAAACTTGTACATTTCATTGTCTTTATTTTATGACTTACTCACCAAAAAAAAAAAAAAATAGGAAGGAAATGAAAGAGAATTCAAATTCATCATTTTGGACTTGGGAATTGAACACTTAGGCGATTTAGAATACCATAAAAGTACCTTCCTAAAAAAAAAAACCACTAAACGAGTTGATTAAGTTTTAAACTAATATCGTTACTCAAAAAATTCTCTTTCTTAGAGGCTAAGCATGGTTAGTCTGAGTTAAACTTGACCACTTAAGCTAAGGAAACAATTAGTGGCTAAGCTAATTTGTGCCTAAATAGAGAAGGGGGGAGAAAGTTTGTGAGGAACATTCTTCTTGAGAGCTAAAAGAGGAAGTTAGAGAAAAGAAAGAGAAACGAGAAGAAAATGAAGGGGAATTCAAATTCATCCTTTTGTACTTGACAACTGAACACTTAGGTCATTTTTAAAACCTTAAATGAGGTGCTTAAGTCAAACAACAAGCGTTAAGCTACAATTACTCAGAATTTTTTTTGTTAGAGGCTAATCAACGTTAGTTTGAGTTAAACTTGCCCACTTAAGCTAACGAAACTATTAGGGGCCTAAGCTAATTAGTTCTCGAACAAAATAGAGAAGGATGGTGAAAGTTATAGAGAAATATTCTTCTTGAGAGGTACAAGAGGAAGTCATACAAAAGAAAGTGAAATAGGAAGAAAATCAAAGAGAATTCAAATTCATCCTTTTAGACTTGAGAATTGAACACTTATGTGACTTAGAAAACCTTAAATGAGGTGCTTACGTTAAACTAATGTCGGTAAGATACAATTACACAGAAAATTCTATTTCTTAGAGAAGGCAAGGTTAGTTTGAGTTAAACTTGGCCGCTCAAGCTAATGAAACCATTAGTGGCCTAAGCTAATTAGTTCCTAGAACAAAATAGAGAAGGATGGAGAAGGACAGAGAAGGTTAGAGAGAAACATTCTTCTTGAGAGCTAGAAGAGAAAGTTAGAGAATAGAAAGAGAAGTATGAAGAAAATCAAAGGGAATTAAAATTCAACTTTTTGGATTTGAGATCTGAACACTTAGGTAATTTAGAAAATCTTAAATGAGATTATTAAGCAAAACTAATATCTTTAAACTAATATTACTTAGAAAATTCTATTTCTTAGAGGCTAAGTAAGGTTTTTTTTTTTGGGTGAATAAGCTAAGTAAGGTTAATTTTACTTACCCAAAAAAAAAGTAAGGTTAATTTGAGTAAAACTAGGCAACTTAAGCTAATGAAAACAATTGGTGGCCTAAGGAAATTAGTTCCTAGAACAAAATAGAGTAGGGCGAAGAAAGTTAGACAGAAGCATTCTTCTTGAGAGTGAGAAGAGAAAGGAAAGATGGGTTAGAGAGAGAAGCTCCCATATCTCTCTAGAAACTCCTTGTTTCTAGGGTTTTGATCTCATTGAGTGATGATCGGAGTTAATGCTCTAACCAAATCTGAGTGCTCCCTTAGTGCACGTGTACGCAATACTGGGATGGAAGTTTTAGGGTTGGTCAAACCTACTGAGGCTTTAGGTTTTGTGCAAAACTCGTTTGAAGTGTTGTCTTCGGAAAACATGGATCCATTGGAGGGGAGTCCTAAGGATCGCGATCTTGAACCTGATCAAACTCTTGAGGCCTCGCGTGAAGGGGGAACCATGAGGCAAACGGATCTGAAGTTGGGATCTATGGTTACATCGGAAAAATTCCAAGAAGTTACAGATCGTCTAGCGAGGCTAAAGGCTCCTACAACTTCCAATGAGGGAAGGATTGCTTCCACTCCGGACCCCCCCAATCTTAGGTGGTCAGATTCTGTAGAGGAGGGAAACCTAGTGCTCCAAAATCTTCCTGATAGTCTCGTTGTTACACGTAACAGAGTTGATGCTAGGATTCGTGGTGCTAGTGACAATCTAGCATCGGATCTTGCGATTGGGATAGAAAGGGGTACAATAGCCCATGAGTTCGACCAAGTAGTGCATCCGATTGGGAACTCGGGAGATCCAGAGTTTGATAGTGACTATGAGGAATTTCAAACTCGACGAGGGGGGTTTCCACAAGGTTGAGGAGGGAGAGGGGGATGTGGTCAGGGGGGGGCAGAGGACAAAAATCTTGGGCCGAGGTCGCTGCACCGTCTGCTCGATCTTCCATCCCTCTCAGGTATGTACCTCCCACTCGTAACGAGGGGTATGTTAGTGTTGAACTACCTCCTAGACATTACTCCCTTGGAAAATGGGACTCATGCCTAGTGGGCTATTTTCTGGATAAGAGCGTTTCCTACAATTACATGAGGAACAGTGCTCTTAGTATGTGGAAAAACAAGGGTTTGAAGGAGATTTTAGCAAATGGGGAAGGTTTCTGGTTTTTCATCTTTGACGATCCAGACTGCTGTAAAATGGTTCTTGAGGGTGGGCCATGGTATGTTGGGGGGTTTAATCTAATCCTCAAACGGTGGACTAGGATGATGAAACTAACTAAGGAGAAAGCTACCAAAGTCCCTGTTTGGGTTAGGCTTTTTAATGTGCCTATGGAATACTGGGATAGTGATGGACTCAGTCGAATAGCTAGTGCTGTGGGAGTTCCTTTGTTTATGGACAACCTCACTGAGAAAGGTAGTAGAGTCTCCTTTGCCAAAGTGTGCGTTGAAATAGATGCAGCATCTACACTACCAGCTATGTTTAATGTTAGTTGTGGAGGGGATACCATTGTAGTAAAAGTAGAATATCAGGGTCTCCCAGCAAAATGTGATCATTGTGTAGCTTTTGGGCATGCTACAACTAGATGTGTTAAATCACAGGTTGAGAAGTTGGTCAACCTCCAAAAGGAAACTGAGGAGAATCCAGACCCTAGGTGGAGTACAGTTACAGCAAAAGGTAAGAGGAAGGTGGGGGATCCTGAAGGTGTAGAACATGGGGTGCAGAATGAAGAGGTAGATGGACAATTGGGTGCAGATACTGAGACCATACCAGAAGGGGTAGAGGCCCATAATACCCAAGTCCTGGAAGAGAAATCACATCGGGAGGGTACCTCCAGTGACAGTAGCAAAGTTGAACCCAGTCCTGGTGGGGAGGTCAATTCCCCTAACACTACAGCTTTGGAGAATTTCCAGAAGGACCTAGTGGAAATAACAAGGCTTGCTCTTCCCAATGAAACTGAATTGATCACTAAAGTGGAAAGTCTAGTGGAAGCAACACAGGCAATGAACAGCCCAATACAAAAGCAAATCCAGCAGAAATCGGCTGCAAAAGGTAACTCCTCTGGCAAGGGCAGCAAAAGCCAGAGGAAAAAGCAAAGGTAACTTCTGTTTTGAGTGGCTGTGGGTTACTGCCTTTTTTGTTGATTATCATATGACTTTTAAAATTTCATCATGGAATGTTAGAGGTTTCAATGATACCTCTAGACATAAGGAAGTGAAAAAAATTTTGTTACATGAAGATATAAAAGTCTTAGGCATTTTGGAGACCAAAATAAAAGCTGCAGACGAAAAGGCACTCCTTTCATCTTGTTTTCTAAATTGGTCCTTTTTGACTAACTCACAACCAACTAAAACTGGGCGTATTTGTGTGTGCTGGGACCCTGCTTTCTGTCAAGTTAACTTGATTGAAGCTTCTACCCAGTTTGTTTTTTGTGAAATTCTTGTTTTGGGTGACAACTCTATTTTTAAAGCTTGCTTTGTATATGCTGAAAATAAGCATGCTATTAGGAAAGAGTTTTTTGATGATATGGTTAAAATTTCCCAGTTTCAGTCCAATGTTCCCCTTGTATTCCTGGGGGATTTTAATGCAATTAGGTACCAATATGAGAAATTTGGGGGTACATCTGTGTGGTCTCCTGAGAAGGAGGAGTTTAATTCTTGCATCATTCACTCTGGTTTGGCTGAGCTCTCTTATAGTGGCTGCCAATTCACCTGGGCCAATAAAAGGGATAGTGGTCAGTACATTGCAACGAAAATTGATAGGGGTCCTGGTCAATGAGGGTTGGCTTGACCTGTACCCTACTTCTTGTGCAACTTTCCTTACTTCCTCTATCTCTGATCATTCTCCTACTGTGGTTACTGTGTCTGAAGCCATTGTTTCTTTTAAGAAACCTTTTAAATTTTTTGACTTTTGGTCAAATCATGAGGACTTTCTCCCTGCTGTATCAAAAGTGTGGCATCAATATATTCTGGGAGTCCCTATGTTCAGAGTTTGTCAAAAACTCAGACAATTGAAACCTGTTTTTAAGGCCATGAATAAAAAGGACTTCAGTGACATTTCCACCAGAGTGTTGGCCACCAAATCTGAGTTGGACTCTGTTCAATGGAAGTTGGATAAGGATCCTGGCAAGCCTGAGCTACAGAGACTTGAGAGAACTCTCTATAAACAGTATGTTGATCTGACTATGGTTGAAGAGAGTTTGGCTCACCAAAAATCTAGGGTTCAGTGGCTTAAATTGGGGGACTGTAATAGCAAGTTCTTTTTTAAGACTATTAAGGGTAATATTAATAGGGGTAAAATTCTTAATATTGAGTTAAACGATGGGAGTATATCTAACAAGCCTGAAGAGATTCAAAATGCCTTCACAAATTTTTACTCTGACTTGTTTGGTACTCCTATTGCTGGCCATTATGATGGGTTTGAAAGAATTAATGCCCTTGTTAAATCTAGGGTCTCCAATGATCAATCTGCTCTCCTTGCTAGACCAGTGACTGATCTGGAGATTAAGGATGTATTTTGGTCTCTTAAACCTAACAAGGCCCCTGGCCCTGATGGTTACCCTGCTGGGTTTTTCAAAAAAATCTTGGGATATTGTTGGTAGAGAGGTTACCCAAGCTATTAGAACCTTTTTTGAGTCTGGGAAACTTCTCTCTGAAGTCAATAGTACAATCATAGCTCTCATCCCTAAAGTTCCTAACCCTGCAAAAGTGGGAGACTTTAGACCCATCTCTTGTTGCAATACGATATACAAATGTATAGCGAAGATCATTGCTAACAGGATTAAAGAGGTCTTGCCTGACCTCATTGATCCTGTGCAATCAGCTTTTGTGCAAGGCAGGAGAATTTCTGATAATATCTTCTTGTCTCAGGAAATTTTGAGGGGTTACCATAAGAATTCCACTACCCCTAAGTGTGCGATGAAAGTGGATATTATGAAAGCTTATGATAGTGTGAGATGGGAGTTTATCATTGATATCCTTGTAGCCATGGCTTTTCCGCCCATTATGATATCTTGGATCAAGGCACAACAAGTCCTTCTTTCTCTGTTTGCATTAATGGGAGCTTGCATGGTTATTTTAAGAGTGCTAGAGGTCTTAGACAGGGAGATCCTATGTCTCCTTATCTCTTCGTTTTGGCTATGGAAATCCTTGCTAGAATTTTTGCAGAAAAGTCCAATCATCCTCTATTCAAGTTCCATTGGAGGTGTGAGAAATCTAAGATTGTCAATCTTCGCTTTGCTGACGATCTTATGATCTTCAGTCGTGGGGATGCTCCCACTGTTAGTTTAATCATGCAAGGTCTGGAGGAGTTCTCTTCTCTTTCAGGCCTTACCCCTAGCTTCAGGCAAAAGGAATATTTACTTCTCGGGTTGTAATGGGGTTTGGAGAGGAGTATCTTCAAGATTGTAAGTTCACTGAGGGTACTCTTCCTGTCAAATACCTTGGTGTCCCCCTGATTACAACTAAGCTTAGGGCTTCGGATTGTCAAATTCTCATTGATAGGATCACAAATCGTATTAAGAGTTGGACCAATAAAGCTCTTTCTTATGCTGGAAGAGCTCAACTTATCCAGACCATTCTCTTTTCTATGCAGGTTTACTGGTCCTCTCTCTTCATCCTCCCCAAGAGGGTTATTAGAGAGATTGAGGGTATCCTTAGAGCCTTTTTCTGGTCGGGCACGGATCTTAAGAAACATAGTGCCAAAATTGCTTGGGATAAGATTTGTGTGCCTAAAAATGAAGGTGGTCTTGGTTTTAAATCTTTAAAAACCGGGGTTTGTGTTCCCATAACCAAGCATATTTGGTTCCTCTTCTCTGGAGGGGAGATGTCTATGTGGTGCCAGTGGGTTAAATCGTATTTACTTAAGGGCCGAAGTTTCTGGAAAGTAAAGGTACCCCACAACTCATCTTGGGTTTGGAGAAAGATTCTAGCTCTTAGGGATAAAATATCACCTCTTATTATCCACAAAATAGGTAGGGGTGACTCTACCTTTTTATGGTATGATAATTGGCATTCTCTTGGTCCTTTATGGAAAAAATTTGGGGACAGAATCTTGTATGACTATAATCTTAATAGTGAGACTAAGGTCAATCAGATTGTGGATGGGGTTTCTTGGAAGTGGCCTGTCCCCAACTCTTGGGAAATAAGGGAGCTGATTTCTTCCACCCCCACTAGCTGTAGACCTAACCCTCTACTGGATGATCAACCTACTTGGTCTCTTTCTGATGGGAAATTCACTATTAATGATGTTTGGAATCATTGGAGGCTTAAGCTTGATAAAGTTGTTTGGCATAAATTCATCTGGGGGGCTCACCATATCCCTAGGGCTAGTTTTGTTGTTTGGATGGCTGTCCAGGAGAGACTTAATACTGGTGACAGGCTTCAGCTATTTGGCATCTCTCCTACACCAATTTGCCCTTTTTGCCAACATATTACTGAAACTCATTCTCACCTCTTTTTTGATTGTGTCTTCTCTGCTAAAATCTGGACTGAAATCAAAGCTAAATGTAATGTGCAGTGGCCTGACTTTCAGTGGCCTGGCATTATCCCCTTTGCTACTAGAGAGACTAAGAGAAGGTCATTAAGATCCATTATCATCAAACTGCCATTGTTGTGTTCTGTTTATATTATCTGGCTTGAAAGGAATAACAGAATTTTCAATAAAGAATTCAACCCAAAAGAAGTGGTTGTTAAAATGATTGTCCAACTGATTAGGGGTAGATTGTTGTCTATCACAAATGTTCCTAGAAATGCAGGTGACAACTGGTACATTGACCATTGGAATTTGCCTGCTACTGTTTTGAAGCCCCATGCTCTTGGAAATGGGAGGGCTGTTGAGTGATGTGAGTTTACTAGATGAGGGTCGAGTGAATGTAAGCAAACTGAGTGCTTTTTTACTAACTGTTTTCTTCTTGTGTAGTAATGAGAAGTGCTTGGAATTCAATGAGGGTTGAGTGTTGTGAGTCCAAATAATGACAACTAACAGAATTGTGGGTTGAGTGATATAGCTACTCACAAATGTTTTATCTAATGTTAATATATATTGTAAGCTTTATGTGCAGGTTATGGTGTGTAATGGTGTGATGCAATGCTGTGTGGGTTGAGTGATGAGAGCCTATATATTGTGTGCTAAATTCCAAATACTACAGAGTGATGTGAGATTATTGTGGGTTTAGTGATGTGAGATATATATGGTGGTACTAGTATTAATGGAATCTGTCCATGATTACTAATGGATTTTTTCACTCCATGTTGGCAGGTCTTTCTATATTGTCTAGTGGAGGTCTATTTCTTGGTTTGGTTCTTGGGATATTTGGCTTGAAGCTGGCTGCTGAATGCGCCGCTGGATGTTTTCTTCAGGGATATAAGCTGTTTTCCTTATTTGTTTTTTAACGATTTTAGTTACTTTACCTATCCTAGCGGGATGTGCTAGGAATTAAGTGGTCCATGTTGACCTGTTTTGTCTCTACTTTTGCTTTACTGTTTGGTGCTGGCTTTGTGTCCTGCTGCTAGATATGTAATGCACAGGTTCTGTTTTGTTCTCCAATCCTGTTTTCGGATTTGGGGTCGTTGCTTTGTGCTGCTTTGGGGCTGTTAGCTCTCGGTTTTTGGGCTGTTCTTTCGCAGTGTTCATTTTCCCTATCTCTCTTGATATGGTTGCTGAACAGTGTGTTTTTTGGTTCTCTTTTGCTTTATCTCCTTGGTTTCTTGGTTGCTGTTTTATGCTGTATAGTTGTTAAGGAAACAATTAGTGGCTAAGCTAATTAGTGCCTAAATAGAGAAGGAGGGAGAAAGTTTGTGAGGAACATTCTTCTTGAGAGCTAAAAGAGGAAGTTAGAGAAAAGAAAGAGGAACGGGAAGAAAATGAAGGGGAATTCAAATTCATCCTTTTGTACTTGACAACTGAACTTAGGTCATTTTAAAAACCTTAAATGTGGTGCTTAAGTTAAACAACTAGCGCTTTTTTTTTGGGTGAATAAGACATAAATAAAAGAAGAAGATTTACAAGATTACAAGGGGCAAACCCCAGGACCTAACACAACTATACAAAGAAACCAAACTGGAAAATAGGCGAAACTAACAGCCAAACTAAAACCCACCAACCTGTTCATCCTCCATATGTACTAGAGATAGAGAGAGTGAACATGAGCAATAACCGATTTTAGCAGAGTAGGAAAAAAGCCAAACATTTTGGTCCAGGAAACTACGTCCTTGCCAAAACAAAACCCACGCAACTGTAGCACCCACCCAGGAAGTGAAACAAAACTGTTGCATCCGCATGTTCAAGCATAGTCAAGATAACCCAAGAAAGTAAAATTTCCTACATAGCCCGTAGGTATAGGAAATAACGCCCAAAAAAACAAAAACAACCAGTTAACATCTGTACAAACAGAACAAAACAAATTACTACAATGTAGAAAATAAAGACGAGGATTTCCACAATGACACTTCTCCACATAGACTGGCGCAGCATGCAGCCTGGTCCTTTTGTCTTCAAGACTCCAATCACAGCATACCAGAAATAATACCAAGACATCAGCATCCAGAGATGGGACTTCACCTCAGCAGACAGTCCACACAGCACAACAGAACTGCCTATTGCACATAGTAAAATGATCTGTCATCAAAGGAAAACTACATTTGTTACCCAGCATGATATAAATGACACCCAAATGTAGTACGCAAAGAAGACACACAATATTTGGTCTCACATCACTAAACCCACAATTTTAGATCTCACTACACTCAGTAACAACATCCTTAGCCTGCACATACAGA